ATTGGATTGGCCCGCTGCAGACGCAGAAACGAATATATTGATGGATTGGGTTGGATGGATTGGATTGGGTGGGATGAGACAAGATGGGACAATATGGGTTGGATGGGATAAGATGGGTTGGATTGGACAAGATGGATTGGAACACATAAACTGGATCGGATAAGAAAGCCCACCGCAGGCGCCGAAAAAATGGATTGATGGATTGGGCCGGGTGGATTTGGTTGGATGGGATAAGACGGATTGGATCAGATAAGATGGGTTGGATTGAAAGAACTGGATTGGATAAGATAATATGGATTGGATTGGCCCGCTGCAGAAGCGGAAACACATGAATGCATGGATTGGGCCGGGTGGATTGGATTGGGCGGGGTAATATAAGATGGGGCAAGATGGGCTGGATAAGCTAAGATGGATTGGATTGGATCAGATGGAATGGATAAGATAAAGTGGATTCGATTGAGAATGCCCGCCGCAGGCGCCGAAAAAAACACGAACTATGAAATTAGCGACGCGCGTTAGCTCCGGGACACCCGGGACGCCCGGGACACCGCGCCGCCCGGCCCAACTGGGACACCTCCCGGCCACCGGCGGACGGGAAACGGACTTTCGCTCCTACTTCGACCTAGCTACACGAGGATCGCGCGCAGCTTCGCCTCGCCCGCACGCGCGACACAATCGCGAAACCGAGACCGATTCCCCGGTGGGGGGTCTCCGTTTCACGGCGATCTCACCCCCCAACCTCCGATCTTTAGAGGCATGGTCTTCCCCTTGCCCTCCGTCGGCTTCTAGCCGAAGCACTATTCGTGCGCAGTGCGCTCTACGGCGGTCTCCTCCAACGCGTTGCTTACACTGGCCGCCAACCAGCCATGCTGCCCGACTTTGAAGTGCCCGACCTTGACGCCCCCGAATCGATTGGCCAAGAAAGAGAACAACGCTGTCGGGAAAGCGCCCTGGAGGCCATCATCCATCCAAGCCGCTGCGGCGGCTAAGCCAATCGGAGCCCTTCAGGCGATGACCAAGGCTCATTGGGGCAGGGCATTATGAGTGGGAGGCATGATTGACGATCACCGACCTACGATGACCCAGGATGATCATGGAGACTGGGATGGTCCTTGTAGGGTCAGCGAAATCAGCGAGGAACGCGGCCAACTCGTGGCCAAATGTGGAAACGCAGATATTGTGGCCGAGCTCCCTGATGCGAGATCGACCCTCTTCGTTGAGGTGTGCATGGCACGAGATTTTGGCATGGGCGACATGGCCACGCGCGCCATTGTCTCCTACGTCTGCGCTTTCAGCGAAAAGGCACCCGCCGCGTTCGGCCGCGATCCCGACCGCAAGAAGATGCATTGATTGCGGAGTGGAGGTAAGTTTGCGCTGCGCACAAGGTACATTTTGCATCACTGTGTATCAGTAGAGCCCATTCCTGGATCGAGCATGTCATCGCTTTCAGTTGGCCAGGAAGCGTTCGCACCCCATCGCCTTCTCCCCAGGTGATGATCGCAGCGCACGGAGAGATATTTCACGGTAGCGGCGTCCAATCTGGCCTCCGATTCTATGGGCCAAGTAACGCCGCACTCAACATCCCAGACATTACAGGCAGCAATCATGCCCGACGGATACAGTGCCTGGTCTCTTCCACACCCGCGCACTCTTTCGACGAGAACCTTTTCTTGCGAATCCCTAACTTAGCCGACGGCCCTCGGGATGGTGGCGACCGCGGAAACACGGGCCCCCCTGAGACGCCGATGGGGCCCGAAAGAGACGTTGGTTGGCTCTCCACGATCGGAGAAGGAGGCGGCGATGAGGAGAAGAACCCGATGCCGATGCACAACGGGCGCCAAGAGCGGGTCAACTCCGACCACCAGTACATCAACGAGTGCACGTTGACCGAACAATTTCAGCGTCTCCACGCTGCCCCCCCCCCATGCACTCCTCTCATGCCGGCGAACGCCGCCCTGGTATCATGCATGACTGATGGTTACGTCGCTCAGAACGAAGCAGTTCATCTAGGTGAACGCACCCAACAGGATGCGCAGTTCTCTCACCAACGGTCGGGCGATCGCGCCGCGGCCGCCAACGCGTCGACGAGTGACCTCGCTGATAGCGGTTGCATCGTCGACGCCGACGGCCACGGCCGGTTCGCCGAATTGTGTCTCACCTGCGACATGACCAAAGTTCTCTCCGACGAGTCACAGTTCACGGCCATGCATGCTGTCTACGGCGGAAATAAAAGGGGCCACGGCAGTGAAAGAGGATGATGAATTGACGAAACAAGATGTTATGTACCGTCCTCGGACGAGTGCCACACGCTTTCTAAGCCGAACTCAAGATACGGCCAGAGAACAATGGCTTCGCGAAAGGGTGATCATCGAAGGCCCAGAACGCGATGACGTCGCGTTGTGCGAGAACGACAACGGCAAGAACGACGGCGGCCAGGCAGAGAAGATCATCCAGCTACGATTCGCGCTGGGAGGCTCTTATGGATTAGGAAGCCTTCTCGGCGGAGACATTTTCGGGAACGTCCAAACGCACCTCGCAGCGACGACTAGCGAGCGAGGCCGCATGCCATGAAGATTGGACCTTGGCAAGCCTGGGCCTTGGTGAGGCCCCCCTTAAAGGATTTACTTACGAGCATTTCGCTGGTGCCGCAGGGGAGCGAGAACGCGCGGTGCATTCCGCGCGACCACTGGGGAGTGCATCGGTTCCACGTGCACAGCCTGTGTTTGAAGACTACAACGAGGCCAGGCACTGCCCTGAGTGCTTGAAACCAGGCACTGGAACCAGAGATGCATCGAGAGCCTTATCTCTGAAGCTCAGACGGACGACCGACCATATCGGCCATAGATCAATGTCCTATGATCCAGAATTTGAGGTGGCACCTGCCGAGCACGCGGGCGGCATCGACCTGTGCAGTAGGGAGGCACATAACGACTCTTACGCACGCAAGGTAGAACAAGTGTTCGGCTGATGCGAACCAAACAAGCAAACGCAAATTGCGCAGCCGGGCGCACCAAGACCGATGACGGCGACGTGACCATGGACCCAGATGATTAATCATGTAAAACAGCTGCGTCCGATCACACACCCCAGTCTCGTCGGAAGTTCACCAGAAGCGCCGGCGAGTCAGACTGCCAGCGATATTGTTGTCAGTCTACGGGGAGCTCTCGCCTACTCGGCACTGGCCCAATTCTGGTGTAAAGTACGCACCGCGTCACTACAACGCATCCATCAACCAACCGACATCCGGTCGAGACGATTGAAAGCCCTCACGTTTTAATCTGCGCAGCGATTCGGGCAACCGAGAACGCATTGGAGAGGAAGACGACGAAACGCAAGGCCATGGGCTTCGGGGCGCCCCTTCTGCGCCGTGGAATCACGAGCAGTAAGGAAGACGTCGCCCATTGCATTGAGGACCTCTGCGAATCTCAGCGCCCCCGGGCTTCACCCAGCTATGCTGCCGAAACACGAGCTGCAGCCCGCAGCGTGGACGAATGCTACCCGACCTTAGTGACACAACGTGAGCTTATCAAGAGTCCTCGGACCCCATGTGGGCTCACAGAGCTGCGCGAACAAGATGGGCTCTACGTTAAGGTATCCCTCGCGATCGACGCCGAAGCCGCGTGCGCATAATTTCCCAGCAAGGACCTGGCAACATTCTCCGGGAATACATTGCTGGGCCACATAAGATGGATCAGAGAATTGTTGGGGTTCGGCATTCCAGATAATGTCTATTGGTGTGACGTCCGCGATATGGCGGCAGATGGTCACGCAAAAGGCGTCATCGATCGGATTTTGTCGTTGTAGGTTATGAACTGATACCAGGGTACATGCTCGAAGTTTAGACATGCACCATATCGTGGTAACCCTCATATTGCCACGTGGCGCCGCTGCTGTCCAAACGCCCTGTTGGACCATTCGTGGTCTGAGGGATTGCTCAGCCGTTTTCAAAAGTTGCATGAGGGGGGGCCCTCCTTCTAGCCCCACTCAAGGCTGTCGTGGAATCGCGACGGCTCAGAGTGAGCGCGTGCCCGCGTTCTTCTTTCATGATTTATGTCGTGGACACACGACTGCCAGGAACTTGGCGTGTCTCCGCGTTCTTTCAGCCAGTTTTTGTTTCAGAGCAATTGTATTGTTCCTTGTTGCTGCTTTGCTTTAGCTTCGTGGTCACTCGAACGCTAACAATAACTGTGCCGATGTGGGATCAGCCTCGTCGACACTTTCAAGAGCTTTCTGGGCTGCCTTCTGGCTGGCCCAGCATCAGCTGCATGCGTTCCGTTTACCTTTGCTCTGTTGCATTGAGGTGTTTTGTTCACTGGTTCATGGAGACATGACCCCAGTAGTTCGCACTGCCGTTTTTCTTGTTGGCCCTTGTCTTACTGCATGAAGTTGTTGTCGTGTTAGACGGCACCTGAATTTTCCGGCTGCCTTGAGCCCACTAGAGGACCGGTGCGGTCAGGTTCCGTCCCCACCCTTCGATTTTGAGCGTATGTCCCAAACGGGGCCATAAGTTTGCTTGATACCGCCGCCGGCTGGGTTCAAGGCAGCGCCGCCCTATCTGCCAGTGTAGGCGACGTTGCCTGCACTTGATGTGCGGTGTTGGCAGGAGACGAAGGTCCGTTTCGCCTCCATCACCATCTGGCGGCCCGACATTATTGTACCAGCTACTTGGCTATTAACCGCCATGTCTTGGAACCGCCCGTTCAAACTCCAACGGCAGTGTGTCATTGATGCCCTTTGCTCCCTCGTGACGCCCCCCCTTTTTCCAAAGCTGCGGTCGGAGACGGAACAGAGGTCCTCCTACCCAGGGGGAAGAGGTGGCCTACTTCGTCCTGAAACTCCCTTACCTTGTTGTGGTGTGCGTTGTGGTGGTCAGGGAGAGAGAGAGAGAGAAAGAGAGAGTGCGCAGTTTCTTACCACAGTATCTTCATGCTGTTCGGACGATGGGGAGGCATGTCTGTCAGCCCGCCTGTCCACGGGGGCCTCCCGAGCACGCGCGGCAGGCGCTGGAGTTCCTGCACTCCCTCTGCGGCCAGCAGGACGAAGCAGCCCCCGCGCTCGGGCTCTGCCGTCTCCTCGCCTTCGTCCCCCCCGCCCTCCCCGTCTGACCCCCTCTGTTGCAGGGATCCCCCGATTCGATCCGATTCGATGCCGATGGCTTCCAATTCCGATTCGGTTCGGCATCGGATCCCGATTCGGACTCCGATTTCGCATTGGAGGTTTTCTAGCCTGCCGATTCCCGCCGATTCGGTTTCTTCCGACTCGGCTGCCGATGTTCGCCGATCCGACTGATTTCGTTCGCCCGGTCTATCGATTCGATTATGGAATATTTTTCGTTGTTTTCTTTTTCTTCTTTCTTCCTCGTCGCCGCCAGTATTGACACTATCAGATGTGAACACAAGGTTGGCCGAAGCATCCTTGATCTGCTGCGTGCCGGGTATTGACCCGGTCACTGGAATCGGTGTTTGCGATCTGCGAACTTTGATGCTCAAGGACGGCCAATTGGCCACCTGGATAACCAGTCGCTTTGAATTCTAAGCACGTTTTCTTGTCATCAGTTTCAAGGCCACCGTTAAAAGTTGGGATGATCGTATGCATGCGTCTCGGTCCTCTTTGGCCACCAACGCTGAGTTTTGTGTTGACCCCCGCACGGCAATTCCTGGCCCTTTGCGGCGACTTCTCCAGCCAGGTCGGCTTCACAATTCCGTCACTTTCGAAGTTCTCGTTCGACGTTCGCTTTACACAGGCCCCGGCCAGGCTAACAGCCAGTGGGACCGTCGTCCGCATGGGTGTCATCGAGGCGATGTGCATGACCTCGTTATTGTCGCAATCCTTCACCAAAGTGGCGTCATCATGGTTCACTCGCAATGTCTTTTCGGATTCAGGGCTGGTAGCGCGAAGCCCCAGCAACACCGCGATTACGAACCGCAGTGACATCACGAATCGATCAAGATGACGACCTTTGCGATCTTCGATTTCTTATTGATAGTAACGGACTCCAGAAGACGGGGATCAGGCGGAATGGACACACCCGCGAGTGGTCATAGGAGTCGACGCTACTATCTCCAAATGGTCAGGGGGGGTTCAGCAACCAGGCCGAACATGTCGTCTGACCCTATGCATGAGAGGTTCTCCTGGGCTTTCATCCTGACCTTCGTCTTGATGTGGTATGCGAACAAATGAGGTTAAGTAGACCCCCCGGTGGAGTCCGAAGCTTTGTTTCTCGGGGCCCTCTTTGAAAGTGGGTTAATCTTGGGGCCATTCGGGGCCGTGTTGTAGCGCCTGCTCGGGCTGTCTTATGCGATCGCAGAGCCATCTTCAGGTCGCGGAAGCCAGGTAGGCGAGAAGGCGAGAAGATAAGGTGAGAAGACAAAAGGCTGTTGAAGGAGTTTGCCCTCGCGGGAGTGCCCGTCGGAGGCTCTGTGGCCGCTTCGGGCAGTATTCTGAAGATCTTCGGTTGATGGGCAGAAACGTATATGTGTTATGTTGATGTTCGGGAACACCCCACGCGCTCTCCTCTCTTTTATTCAAGAGGCTCACGCCCTTCTGCCGACACCCAGAAGAGGCGGGAATCCACGGTTGAGGCGTCGTGGGTTTCTTGGGCACTATTTGGGGACTTTTGTGGGCGTCTTGGGAGCTGTTTGGGGGCCTGGCTGAGCGTTTTCGATGCAGTTTTGAAGCGTCTTGGGGCCCGTTTGGGGGCCTCTTTGGGGCCCCTTGGGGGCCTCTTGTGGCTTATTGTGGGCCTCGTTTGGGCCGCTTGGGGGCTTCTTGGAGCCTTTGGGGGGCCTCTTGGGGGGAGATAGGATGTTCGGTTCGCGTTTTCCCTCTTTGCCTCTCTTGGGCCCTTCTTTGGGCCGTCTTGGAACTCTCTTGGGCCGTCCTACGGCTCTCGTGGGGCCTGTTGGGCAGTTCTGGGGCGGTCTACGGAGCCTCTTGGGCCGTCTTGGAGCGTCGGAAATTCGAGAAGACGAGAACCCAGAAACAATGGAAAACCACAGGAACACCACTGATTGTTGCCTCACGGGGCCCTCTTGGGAAGGCTCTTTTAGCGTCTCGAAGGCGTCTTGGGGCGTCTTGGAGCCACGTGAGCGTCTTGGGCCAATCGTTCCGTGGTTCGGGACCGTCTTGGAACGTTTCTGAGGCCACGGAAGGCAGATTTGGAAGCTCCAGAGTCTCCAGGGGTGCGCCGACGAGCCCAGATACCCACCCTTAACGAGATTTGGACCATGAGGGGGGCGAGGGGGACAGTCATTCATCTCACACGTTCTCTCATCCCCCGGCAAGCGAGGGTCGTCGGCGGGTACTGGTGGGCTGCGCCGCGATGTGTAGATCTGTCGACCGGCCAAAATACCGCGCCCCGCTGGCGATGCCAACCAACAGTGAATCTGGGGCAAGGGGGCGCGTTGAAGTTTGCGCAGATCCGGTCTCGCGGGTGGTTCAGCATTGTGTCCGTCAACCGTTCTTCCTATTCCTCCTCCTTGTCCTCCTCCTCCTTCTTCTCCTCCTCCTCCTCCTCCTCCTCCTCCTCCTCCTCCTCCTCCTCCTCCTCCTCCTCCTCCTTCCTCCTCCTCCGACTCTCGACTCCTCCTCCGACTCCGACTCCTCCTCCCCTCCCTCTCCCTCCTTCTCCTCCCCCTCCTCCTCCTCCTCCTCCTCCTCCTCCTTCTCCTCCTCCTCCTCCTCCTCTCCTACCCGCTCTCTCTCCTCTCCTCCTCCTCCTCCTCCCCTCCCCTCCTCCTCCTCCCCTCCTCCCCTCCTCCCCCTCCTCCTCCTCTTCCTCCCCTTCTCCTCCCCTCCTCCTCCGCCTCCTCCCCTCTCCTCCCCTCCCCCTCCTCTTCCTCCTCCTCCTCCTCCTCCTCGTGCTCCTCCTCCTCCTCCTCCTCCTCGTCCTCCTCCTCCTCCCCCCTTCTCCTCCTCCCCTCTCCTCCTCCCTCTCATCCTTCTCCTTACCACCACACGGGCCCGCTTGCCGCCCTGAGGAAGCTGATGACAGGTTGGACCCCGCTAACCCGCTGGCCGCGTCCGGGCCGCTGGTGGCAAGCCTGA